AAACAAATGGCATTAGCACTTTCTGAGTGAGTGCAGAGCATGCTCTAAGCTAGCTGTCAAGTTACAGCTGCAAAGACACTGTGGCAAAAAATTAAGTAAATCAGCCACTTTGTTTGCTGCCTTAATCAATAACTTTGTGGCTTCCAGCTGCTGTCTGAAATGAACAAAGTCATGCTGACCTGGTCTTTGTCTATTCCAGACCACAGGCTGCAATTTTAACAGTCAACTGGAAAAAACACTAGCAAGTGTGACTTGTAGGAATGCCAAGAACACTGGTCAGCTGATAAAATAACGAAAAAAAAATAACAATCACAGCAATTTTAGAGAACCAGACATGACTTGATCTTGTCCTCTTCATGTCTGCTGCGATGCATCATCCTAAGGGTCATATGCTGCTCAAGTTAAGAAATGGTGCTATGGAAAGAGCAATACTCAAAGACCCAAAATGGTGAAGAGAATTACAAACTCCTCCAAACCTGCTGCAGGCAATATCTTCATTAGGATAGTAAGCTATGGGTTTCTCCTCCAGGTGACTGGGAAATAAACCTCTATTCCCAGCTGAAGGAAGCTGTGATCTGACACAGTTTGTCATGGACTCATGAAACCAAAGGTTTCAGCAAAAATAAAAGGAGTGTGAACAAAGTGATCTGATTACTGTATTTGTCATTTATTGCATTAGTACACAGTAGACTGTTTCTAGCAAAAACTACAATAAACACAGTGTGCTCACAGGATACATGACCTCAAAAACATTGTGGAGTTTTGTTCCTAAGTTCTAAATTTGAGTTTTAAAAATCCTGTTACACTAGAAGAAATGTGATAATTAAGGAATAGGATGGTATACTTTCAGGAAGGGAGACAAGTCTTATTTTTGATGTTCATATTCATTATTCAAGAGAAGAGGAGAGTGCAGGACCATCAGTAAAACTCAAAGTACACATCAACAGGAGATTGCTGGACCATCAGTAAAACTCAAAGTACACATCACAGCAAGATTTTCTGTGCCACATTTAATATACAACTTTGGGTTCATCTTGTGCAAATTAAAAACATCAAAAAAAGGAGAGAGTAAAGGAGGTTCAGTAACCAACATTCATGTTAATGAAGTCTGTACATTGGCCCTATCATTATAAAACTGCCTCTCCAGGAGATTGCTGGACCATCAGTAAAACTCAAAGTACACATCACAGCAAGATTTTCTGTGCCACATTTAATATACAACTTTGGGTTCATCTTGTGCAAATTAAAAACATCAAAAAAAGGAGAGAGTAAAGGAGGTTCAGTAACCAACATTCATGTTAATGAAGTCTGTACATTGGCCCTATCATTATAAAACTGCCTCTCACCACAAAGCCTTCAGGTTTTACCTGGTTTAGAACTTTCTGGAGATATGGTGTTCCCATCCGATCTGCCATGTGCCTGTAGGATGGATGGGAAAGGAAGAATTTCCTTTCTGCCAGAACAGCTGCCTTTATGTCCTTCTTCCCATCAATGTCTTTCTGGCTTCTGTTTACAACACCAATATAACCTGAAACAACACAAACCAATGGGGAAATCAATGCAGCTATTGGCAGAACTACTGAATTCATGCTAAATAGAACCAAACAGCCTCAGTTCAAACAAAACTTTCCAATTTAGCCATTTCAGATATCGTTCACACATACTCTAACGACCTTAATAGCATCTATACTGTTCATCCTGTGTAGGTATAACAGAGTACTGTAATGACCTTAATAGCATCTACACTGTTCATCCTGTGTAGGTATAACAGACATACTTCCTTTTAAATCACCAAGTCAAATACAGAAACATCTGAAACATTGGTGAACCCCAAAGAAACCACTTCAAAAATAAGCAAACCAAAAACCCTAAAACAGAAGTCACACACAGGTCGACACAGATAAACGATACCATATTAACTAAATACAGAAAAAAATTCTTCTCCTTTGCTGGACCAGTCGACACAGATAAATGATACCATATTAACTAAATACAAAAAAAAATTCTTCTCCTTTGCTGGACCAACACGCTCCATGGGAGGAGATGGTTGTCTCATCAATAAACTATAACCAGAACCAAAATTCTTCATGTTACTAACAGCATGAGCAACTGTGGCAGTAGCTGCCAGAACAATCACACAGAAAAATTTCAGGAAATGATCAAATCTTGGTTTAGAGTGAGATTACCAAAGCTCTGGTACTTGTTTCTATCATGTGCAAAGAGAAAAAGACTCTTGTTACTAGTTACAGCAACCTGGCGGAGAACAAAAAAAACACAACTGGCTAACAACTTGTGCTTTGTCTGGAGTATGCAGTGTATTTCCCAGGTCCAGAAAGGAAGATATTTTACTTGCAGGATATTTTCTTTGCTGAATAGGTAACTATAAAAAGCTAGGAACTCATCAAGTTCAGTGCAACCTTTGATTCATCTCCAGGACTCCCAGTTTGCTGAATAGGTAACTATAAAAGCTAGGAACTCATCAAGTCCAGTGTAACCTTTGATTCATCTCCAGGACTCCCAAACATCTCTCTTATCCAAACCATCTTCTGGATTGCAAAGAATATAGGCCACTGAACATTCTCACCTCTGCGCAGAGGGAGTAGTCTGTTTTCTAGAATTTCTCTTGCATCTGTTCCTTCGTCCATCAGATCCAATTTTGTGATCACACCAATGGTCCTAAGGCCTGACCAGGGTGGAGGCAGGAGGAAAAAGTTATTGAAGAATTCTTTAGATTCAGGAAGAACAATTACATTTTATATAATATCAGATATGTGACCTTCTCCCAGCTTGTATCACACAATACCAGCTACAACTCAAGTTATGGTATGTCTGGAAAAGAAGGGAATTGCCAGTGCTGAAATGTGTTGCTCAGAGTTCTTTAACAAGGCTCAGCATCCCTACAACATGACTGTATAAAATTTATGATTCAAGTATCTAGAAATTCCATAGTACCATGGCCCATTTTGCCTGACACTACAAAAGTTTCCAGGTAGGCACTGCTGCACTTGTTTGTAAGAGATAGTGACAAAGTTTTTAAAATACATTTCTAGCAAGATTACCTGACCAATACTGAGCTAACAGTTATTGTGACCTTGAAGGCTGTATGAGAATGTATATCTACACATCTATATGACATACCATTCATGATGAAATTTCACACAAGAGTTGGTCTATTACTCCCAATTATGTTATTACACTGAGAACAACAAGTGGCAACATTCAATCATGCTTACCCTGAGGATCCACTTCCTTGGCTAGCTTCAGTGCATCTGAGTTGGCCAGATCAGTGTTAGCTGGAGTCACAGCCAGTATCAGACAGTTCTCTCTTGAGATGAACTGCATTATCATCTCTCTGATCTGTTGCTCAATATCTGGAGGTTGATCCCCTACTGGCACTTTAGTGATTCCCGGCAAATCAATAAGGGTCAGGCTTAAGACTACATGGAAAACACAGGATTATAAAACTGGTTACTACACCTGACATGACAAAGAGGTCTGCAGACAAGTTACAGTCACATAAGCCCCCACACAATTACCTTTACAGGAGTATAAATATTGTCAACAGTTCAAACAAAATGCCTGACAAACTCAAAGTACACTCGTTTCCCTCCTGGTCTTTCATCTCTGCATTTATTACTGCTAGTTAATATTTTAAATATTACAACTGGTATAGAATGATACTTACAGCAAATATCCTTGAGGGCTCTTAGGCAAATGAACGTGACTTTCTGAGCTTTGTCCAACAGCAGGAGCACAGGCAACAGACCATTCCCACTCCATCTTTCAAATCAACCCCAATAAGTTGTTTGGTTGTTGGTTTTAAATATAGTCCTTGTCTGGCCATTCTTTCAACAGTGTCTCCAATTAAAAAATGCTCAAAAAGATCAATAGCTAGTTTAACCTACATAGCAAAATTATTTTTAAGGGATTTGGGGGGATGTTGTTGCTTTGGGTTTTAGGGTTGGTTTTTTTCCACTCTGTAATTTCTTCAGACAAAGTAAGAAGCATGTAAAAAGTGAATCTATTAAGAAAATCTGGTTTGCTCTGACATGGTTTCCCCAGTACAGGTCACAGTGCCAGCTAGAAGCATCCTAGCCTGTTCAGCCAGCACTGGGGTACAAGAAACACCAGAAGTGTATTTGGGGTCTAGTTAATACAGACAACAGTTGCAGAACTAAAAGACTGATCCTAATAAAACAATGTAAGAGTAACAGGTAGGAAATTTTCACTTTCTCCTGGAGTCAGCACGTTCAACAAAAAAGCCTTGAGGAAGGGCTAAACTCCAGCTTCTCTCCAGTTAGAAAAACAAAGTGCTTCAGGCAAACACAGTGCTTTTCTCCTGTATCCAAGACAGACTGGATGGGAAACATTTCCTCTAGACTGCCTTCATTAATTTGGGCAGATGACAACCAGAGGAACCAATTTTGATCTATACAGGGGCCCTCTACAGAAAGCAGCTTCAAACACCATTATTGTCAGAATATATTTTTAGTGACAGCAAAAAATAAATTTCCAATAAGGCAAGGAGACAGTGACTTCCTAGATCACTGATCAGGGAATCCCTCTGGAGGGTGGCAGAAACATGTTTTGCCACTAAGTCTCCCATCTCCTATTATTGGTAGTGAGCTACTATCTAATGGTGAATGTGCTGGGGGAGAAATTGTTTCCATCCTGGCTCAGAGTGAGGATATTTTTAAATCAAGAGGATATTAAATGGAACAGAGAGTCTGTGTTCTGCCCAGCTCTAGTGACATCAGCTCTCCACCACAGAGTGGATACTTAACACAGGAGAATTTGAAGTTTCTTCCAGATACATATCCACTTTTGGTTCAGCTCAGCCTTCGAAGTCCTTTCACCCCAGAAGATCAAGCAATAAGAACACACACAAAGGGAACAGACAGACAGAGCTACACAGTCCATTACATGACAGAAGGGGAAAGCAGAATAATTTTACCTACCATGTGGAGAATATACTCTTAAATTAATAGGAATGGAAGAAATGCCTTTATTCATTCCTGTTACTCTATCTGTTTCTACTTCAATTTCCTGACGAACTTCATCAAAATCAGTAAATTTCTTCCCTTTGCAGTGTAGAAATTCAGCATACTCTGTGAAAAAAATATCAACAACTCTGTATTTCACAGGCTTATTTACTTGGACACCCCACTTTCCAGCCCCTGGTGTTCTTCAGATGTGTGTGCACAAATGTGTGTCATTGTGGCTACCAGGAAAGCCTTGTTATGACAGAACATAGGAAACAGCTTACAACAAGAAAGGCTTAGTTAAAAAGCCAAATTGAATGGATACAATTTACTGCTCTTATCTTTAGCACATCATCTTCTGGAACAACCTGAAAGATTCAGATAGATACCACTTACAGTAATAGAACAAGGAACAGATTGTGAATCAGATTCTGAGTTTTCATCTGATTACATCTGACTGTAATACATCACTAAATTGAAAAGTAATTCAAGTTTCGTATCATGAAAGATTATTAGCATTTGTTTCAAAAACTAACAGCCCATGGTGCACATGAACCTAGCAAAGGAATTCTGCAATTTTTTAGAGGTTTATCATGAAAACAAGATCACTTAAACACTGTAATGCTTTTAACACAACTCCTCATTTCCTAAAATCTTCCTGAAGTCTAAATACAAATCATGATTTCAAGTTGGTAAAACACTTATAGACAGAGCTGTGATTTTGCTGGAGGGGGAGAACACAACTAATTCCTAAGTCTTTGATATCATACAACTTGTCCTCTTATCTTAACAGGGCACTAACCAGGAATCATCTTAATTCGTAAGTATTTGATATCATACAACTTGTCCTCTTAGCTTAACAGGGCACTAACCAGGAATCATCCTAATTTGTTAGGCCCAAACTTGACACTAGGTCCCTGTTTTAATTTTTGACTCCAAATACTGACACTAAACATTGGAATCTTTAGATTGCCTGCATAACCAAAAGCTCAGGATTTTAAAACTGAAGTTTCTTCCTTCAAAACAGAACACAAATATTGGAATCTTTTGATTGCCTGCATAACCAAAAGCTCAAGATTTTAAAACTGGAGTTTCTTCCTTCAAAACAGAACACAAAAATTGATCTCACACAGCAAGGCTGCAACCCAAAATCATGACATAGATGGTAATCATAGAGTTGATCTCACACAGTAAGGCTGCAACCCGAAATCATGACATAGATGGTAATCATAGATACAAGGGGTCTAACCAGTAGGGCTGGAGAAAGGTTGAAAAGTTGTGTATGCTCCAGTTCATTTCATCCTGCAATCAAGGCCTGATCTCAAAGTGGTCAGATGTTTCTTCCCCAGAAAATGTTACTTGGTAAAATGCCCTCAAATACCTGGGCCTAGAGCTTGCTTGGTACTCAAGATAGAACAGCACCTCAGGAGACTCAATCTGAGAGCACAGATTATCAGAGGACCTTGTGTGTTAGTACTGAAGCATCTTTCCCAAAATCCACTTTATTGCTATTATTGACAGAGCTGTTAAAAAATAATAATTAATAAATAAACAATCAAAATTACAACTTAAAGTAAACTGAGAGGTAAAAAAAACTGAGAGTGGAAAAAACATCGAATACCAACCCTTCTGTGCTACAATACCCCAGAGGAGAGTGGAAAAAACATCAAATACCAACCCTTCTGTGCTACAATACCAGACCCAAAGTGTGAGGAACAGGACAACTCAGCCTTGTCAAGATAAAAATACACTGCTTATTTTAAAAATAAGAGATCACCTAACAAAAAAACCCCTCCATCTCACTTTGGACAATTTAAAAATTTCAGAATATCTTTTCTTTTTTACCTCCAGCATCAAAATGACAACAAATGGGGATTTTGTTTCAACTGTTTCTTAAAACACCCAAGGAATATTACAACATTTCAAAACTAAAAATAATACAGTGCACAAAATAAAATTTCTCAGGTGCTCTAGCACACTTGAGAAATAAAATGTATCATCTCAAAATAGGGAAATAACTACCTAATTTAAAAAAGAGCTGACAAGTAGTTCTTATTTTGTCCAAGCTCTCATCCACTGCTCCTGGCATAAAATATAATGTATTCTTCTCAGTTACTTTTTTTTCCAGTGGTTCATTAGATTTTCTCAGCAAAATATTTCTAAATTCAGCAATTAATACTTCATTCCTGTCTGTAATCAGCTGAGTGTCTCAGCTGACAGCCAAGGAAGTTTTTCTCTTGGTTCCCTTTCACATTCACCAACAGCAACAGTTGCTGACTGAAATGGCTTCATGGCAACCCAATAAAACAGTTTGCTGTGTTTTAGCTTTGTTAATATTTATCAGTAACTCATTCCTCCCAGTGACATCTGTGATCCCACTAGAGCTGAAGGAATAAACTTTCCAGTGGTTCATAACCTGTGGTGCCACACGCAGCCTACGGAATAAAAATTCAAACAGACAAGCAGTGCTTTGTTTTGCTCCTTTCAGCCCTTAGCTTGAACTTGGCAATGATGCCTTTAGCCAGCCTGGATAAGCACATGCTTTAATGCAATCTTCAGTTTCCAGCTTTCATACACAGAAGAATACTAGGAAAACATTTTATTGACATTTTTGTGGGAATGGATGCAAAGCCAGACAAGAAAAAGTAATCCTGCCTGATGTCTAGCTTTCAGACATGTATTTTTTTGTATAAAACTGAAGTTATATTAAGAGAAAGAAAAATGAGATAAAAAATTAAAACAGTCTTTGCATGTAAAATATATTTCCCCCATCCCACACTCATTATAAGCACCTTGGGTAATGTAGAATGAAAAGGCTACCAGAGCAGAGTTCCTTCAGTGCCTCCGTAAGTGATTATTTATCTCATCAGCTTTAATTAAGTGTGACAAATCACACAAACGAGTGTTATGGGATAATATCTCCTAAAATGCTCCTCATTTTGCCTGTCAGTTATTTCTCCCTATGCCTTTATGGTTTAATCCAGCACAAAGTTGTATTGTTATCAGCAATAAACAGCCACTGCTGTTCTCAAACCATTTAAATGACATACACACTCGGGATATTTCATGGATTAGTCTCTAAGTAAAGACAGCTGAGTGACAAGATATGGATCAGTCCTGAGAAATACATCAGAGATGTTTTGGAAAACATCCTTGATCCACATCAGCCTGAACCTAAGACCTTACAAAGCCCAAAGACTTCACCCTGTACAGAATAAGCTGTTACTAGAGGTCAGGAATTCAACCAAGCTGAGAGACCTGGATTCAGAGCTCCTCCCAAACTGATTACAAGCAGAGTTGCTCCAAGTTGGTGGTGGTATCCAGTCTAGAATACTGGAAAGAGCTTGGGAGTTTTCCAAAAAGGTGGCTCATTAAATTGTAGGCTTACAGCAAACATTTTAAACATGTACAGCAAAGGGGGAACACCTCCTCTTACTGCCCCTTCCATCTGCCAGAGCCTCAGATGTCACCCAAGGAACAACAGCATTGTCAGTGCCAACCAAGCACTGCACAAAGCCTTTCAAAAGAGTGATTTGAACAGAGTGTTTTAAAGCCATGCAAATAAACATCAGCAGTGAAAGTACATCACCTTTCCTTTGATGATGGACCAGTTTTTCTGAACAGAGCAGTTAAGTGAATCTGGACCGTAGCAAATCATTCAGCAGTGCTTCACTGAAAAGAGCAGCAGTATCAAAAGCCCTTGTTGTCTTCACCAGTCTATAATCCCTCTGCTACTTCATTTCTGTAGCTTTGCTAACAGGCTGAAGGTGAAATACTCGAAATTGAGGCATTCCACAGCTAACCTTTAAGCAGCAAGGCTACAGGAAATGCAAGTACCCTGGTATGTGCTGAAGACAAAACAGAAAATCCTGTCAATGCAGAAGAGATTAAAAACATGGGAAGTAGTGTAGACCTGATGAAAGTAACTAGCATAAAATACCAGGCCATGCTCTCAGGAACCAATGAACTGCTTAAGGATAAGGGCAAATGCTCATACCAGAGGAGGGAAAAAGTCTTCTTTTGGATGCAATACCCTTTCACATCTTCAAAAGTTTTTGTTTGTAGAAGAAATGTATCTCTGTTCTTTCAACCTTTTCCTATGGCTCATGCTTTGCAAACTTCCCATTAGTCACACAGTAAATCCTCCAAGCATTTTTCCTGAAGTTGCAGAGGCACAGCTCTCCCCAGAGCTCTCTCCTTCTCAGCACTGAGAAAAAGCAGAACAACTACTTTTAAGGCTGCATTTCTGTGATGCATCTTGTATAGTATTTATTTCTGTGCTTTACAAAAGCACAACATCAGTGAGTTATGTTCTGTTAGAGACCCACTGTGAGCACCAGGTCCTTTCCTGGAGACTATCTCACCCATTACCAGCCTCCCAGTACAGACACAGCCCTTGGCCCAGCTGAACTTCTTCCCACTTTGGGGGCATTTCTCTTCTTGTGCAAGCAATTTGAATTCCAATTCTGCCCTTTGGTGTCTTTCATATTCTCTTTGTATTTGCCAAATACAAACTTAATATTGACACACTCTGTTCTGTCATACAAATACTGAACGTGACCTGGAGGGATGTCCCTTCCACTCTGTAAACAACTGTGCATCCATCTTATAGAGGTCCTTTCTAGATCATGTTTCCTGAGTTTGCTTATTGTATTTTTAAAAAAAGCAAGATAATTTCAACTCCCTTACTGCACCCAAGATAAGACACTTGCCATAACTTAACTTACATTAACTGACTGTTACCCTGTAATAAAAAAAATACAACTCCCTCACTGCACCCAAGATAAGACAATTGCCTAACTTAACTTACATGACTGTTACCCTGTAATAAAAAAAATAAATTGCACTGATATGACAGGGTTATTTCCCTTGATGAGTTTGCATTGGCTGCTATTCATCTCAAACACTTTTCAGATTGTTATTCAATAACTTACTACAGATTTCTTTTTCCTGCAAGTGACCTTTGACTGCACTGCACCCAAGATAAGACAATTGCCTAACTTAACTTACATGACTGTTACCCTGTAATAAAAAAAATAAATTGCACTGATATGACAGGGTTATTTCCCTTGATGAGTTTGCATTGGCTGCTATTCATCTCAAACACTTTTCAGATTGTTATTCAA